TTGTTCACAGGTTGGAGTCCTGATAACCTTCCTCCTGCTCCTGATCTTCTCCTACAGCGTTGTCTTCTTGTTTGTGGGGACAGCATCCCTGGGGCTGTTTCTCAGCAGCGCTTTCCCCAGCATGCTCGCCTACACCGAGGACATCCTGCAGTACAAAGGTGAGCGGGGACTGGGGCAGGGGGGTGTTCCAGACCAGAGCTCGGATCCCATCACATCTCGCAACTCCTCCCCTCTTCAGGGACATCTAGGAGGTCTGGAAGAAAGATCTGCTTTTGAGTACAATATTTATTCAAGCTTGTAGTCAGAAAATCAGACTGTACAAATCTCGGCTTCAGCATACTAATAACTTCAACAGGCAGAGATGCAGACTGGTTCTTCGTTTCCCGCAGCTTTAGGGCTCTCGGGCACTGACAGGAGTGTCCGCTGCAAAGCGTACAGGCAGCAGTCTGGAAAACATCACCCAGATTATCAGCGAGCCGAAACCCCGAGAGTTTGGTGACCTCTCACAGGAGGTCTCTGCCAACCTCCATCTCTGGGGCAGGGATAGAGAAGAGGGAAAATCCTTCCAGCGAGAAGCAGCGTCACCTTTGCCACCAGAGACAAGTGACAGGACAGGAGATGGTTATTTGGCTTAAACTTTTACCTTTCTGCGCTACCGCAGGTTAGAAGAGGCATAATCATCGCTAGATGGGAACGTACATTAAGTATTTGTACGTCTTGTATGGAGAGCGCCACGGAAGGGCAGTCTGAAGAAGCCACGGGCTGTCTCGCCCCTTCCCTGCCCACATCACCTGTGCTGTTTCTTTGCAGGCTGTGCCACAACCGTGTTAGTGACCGGAGCTGGAATTGGAGAGATGGTACTACAGCTACTGGTGGGATCGGTGAGTGCAGACAAGGCATGCCAAAAACTGACTGGAACTTCAAAGTAGAAACCTTAGTCCTGGTTTTGGACAGCTGCGGGGGGGAAAGCACCGCGTTAGCCGTGAGCTATCAAATAGCAAAGCTCTTCTTGAATGTTAATTTGGTACTTGAGTGCTATGATAACGTCTTCTCTGTTTTTTTTTTTCCCCACCCTCCGATTGCAGATTATACATGATCGGGGCAGCTACAGTTTCCTGGTCTGTGGGATGATCTTTGGAGGTTTGGCCTTTACCTTCTACGCTTTCCTCTTGTTTTTCCACAGGATGTACCCCAAGCCGCCCTCAGGTAAGAAAGCCCCAGCACTCGGCCCCGCTTTATAGGCAGAGCGGTACACGCACCAGCACACAACCAGGGTGCAGCACTTCAGCAAAATGCAAGGAAATGTTTATTTTACTGCTGCTTCCCGTCCCCTCTTCCTGCTTTGACTTGCCCACAAAGCCCTGGCGGTTGCCGCTCGGGGTTTGCTTTCTTTTCTGTTGGAGAAAGCAGGGGAGAAAAGCCGGACTGCTCTGCGGATGGCAGAGGAGCTGTAAAGCACAAGGAAGGAGAGCTGCGACGGCCCTGCAGAGCTTGCAGCAGTAATTCCTCCCAGTGCAGACGGCACAAGCTTCCCCGCGCTCATCCCTGGAGAAAATCCAGGCACCAAGCGGGTCTGCCATCCAACGGCAGCTGTCGGGCTCTTGAGAGAGAGCCTTTATCACTGTGGCTTTTCTCAGGGATTGCCTCAGTCCGCGTACGCTATTTGCCACAATAAGTCCCTTTGGGAAAAGGAGCGCTGCGTGAGCAGCAAAAATCTTGTCCAGGTTACTGGAAAGAGACACCTTTTTCTCCATGCCCAGTGAAGCGAACGAGCTATAGTGGCGGGTGAACAGCAACATGGGTGTTTGGGAGAGGTCACGCGCATTCGTGGAATCACAGAATGGTTTAGAATCGGTATGTTCAGATGAAGTCTCTAACGTCAATGTTGCAGATCTGGACGATGCCTCACCGGACAAAGCAGCAGTGCCGGATGACACTGGACAGTATCAGCGCTAAAGGAGCGGCCGAGCCCCAGACAAGCAATAAACCACCACACAATTAAGCATTACTATTTGGGGTGATTTCACATTTAATGACTGAATCATGCAAGTTTTCTACAATCAAAGCACGTTAGATTGGGTAAGTCAGAATCAAGAAAACATCCTAAAACACCGCGTGAAGCTAAGCACAAGCTGCCCGTGTCACGTGTACCAAAAAAAGACGACTGTAAGCATCAGCCCGAGGCTGCGTGTGAGCGGCTGCGCTGTACGGCAGGGCTGACGGAGAACAGATACTCCCGCAAATGAACTTTCTTACCAGTCCAGGATGGAGGGTGGGAAGGAAAAGGTTCTCTCTGTTCCGTATGTAAGACTGAGTATCTCCTGGCTTAGTCATTGAACTTCACAGATTTTTCTTTTGGCCTGCGACGCACAGAAGCCCCTACAATTTACAGCACGATACTGGATCTGAATTCATTTTTGTGCGACACTGACTCAAGTGTGTGTCACCTCCATGTGTACTTCCAAAGGGGAAAAATTACACAATCAGTAGAAGCCACCAGGTGCGCAGGGGTAGCAGGACCTGTCGCTATTTGCACAGTTGATTCTTGTGTATTACACAGCATCAGACACGTTCACGAAGACAGTGTCTTATTCAGCATGCTCGGCCTTCTTGATTACTAAAATCATTATTAGCTTTATTTTTTTTTTTTTAAGTCAAGAATGAGTTTTGCTGGTTTGTTTTGCTTTGAGGCACTAGTTTAGCTGCTACAGTTGCAGTGTCTTCTAGGGTGGTTTTATTTCTAGCTTCCAGTTGAAGCTTAACCAGAGGTGTTTGGGAGACAGCCTCCAGCTGCTTCATCTGTGCAATACTTTATTATCAGGTGCCTTCCGTAAGGTACTCCCGTAACCCACGCATGGCCTAGCGCACGCTGCGACGAAAGGACTGGCTTTAGAAGAGCGTAAAGCTACATACAGCTCCTTCTTCAGTGAGTGATTGGACATGTACTTTTTTGCTTTAACTGCTGGATGTGGATGTACATATGTACGTGTGTATATAAAGCAGTGTTTAATTAAAGGTGATTGATTGCTACGTTCTCAGCGTGACTGGGCTCAGGTAACTTAAGCTGTCAGCTGCTACCTTCACCAGTTCTACCTTCCAAACTCAGATGGAATCTAACAGCTCTTTCATTTAAAGCGTTTTTAGCATTTCTATTTGCCCATGCAGCCGATCTTACCTTCCGTCAGACGTCTTCACACGCTCCCACGGGTGGTTCTGTAGAAGAACTCTCAGAAGAGCAGACTTTGCTGAATTGACTCTGCAGACCTAAAGGTGGGGGCACGTTAGGCCACTGCAGGGGGGCAGTAAATGCAGTTGAATTCTGGGCTTAACTCAGTCACGGACTTCAGGAGCCCTCCTGCCTCCAGTATGTGCTGCAATTCTGCTCTGGCGCCACGGGATGCCACTGTTACTCTCCTTGAGATACCCAGAATGAAGAAAAGTGTGTAGTGCAAAACCCATCTGTAGCAAAAAAAAACCCCACCCAACACCCCAATCTGTCATTAATAGAGCCCCTCCCACCATGACAGCATTCTCTCCATCCCTGTGCAGAGGAAATGAGCGTGAAACAATACAATGAGGGAGTTTATTTTGAAAGAAGTCTACTCAGATTACATTTATGTCGCAGCAGGGACTGTCAGCTATTAAAAAAAATAGTACCTTATGCTGTCCTTGCAGATTGATGATGTGTAGCTAAATGCTATCGCAGAATAACATTTCTTTTGTTGGAAGTGTACTTTTGACAATTCCAACCTCCGCTTTGCTATCAGCGCTAGACGTAGAACGGAGCTCATCACCAAAGGGAATTTTCACCAGAAGAGAGTACCTGATGTGGCAAAAGCCACTTGCGCAGCACTACAGCGCTTGCAACAGCAGCTCCAGCTCTGCCTCCCGTCAAGCGAGATGCGAGCGAGGAGCCTGTGCTGCTGCGATGCCCCAGGTCAGCTCAAGGTCCGATGAACTCCCGGGCTCCGGCAGAGCACACCGCTCTGCAGCTGTAACTTTCAATTTCCTCTACTGAAAGAAAGCAGTCAAAAGATGAGAAACTTTGTTAAAAATATTTATTTAAAAAAATACAATTGTTTTGCATGTCTGGTTGCACATAACTATTAACATATGATTGACTTGAATAATTTGCTACAATGCTTTTTTTAAAGCCAGCTTGCATTATACAAAGCAAATCCCTCTGTCAGTTCTTACATAAAATAGTTTTCTTTAACTATTCCCACCCCATTTTTAAAAAAGATTGCAATACATTGATTTATTTTATTTTATTTTTTTTTGCACAAAAATTGAAGCAATAGAAAAGTCACCTGATTTCTCAGGAAAGACCTTCATTATGTTTGAATAACAACTGCCAATGCGCCACTGTTTTAAAAGCAGCATTTGTTACTTTGAAGTGTCATTACAGTGCACCTCCTCCAAAGTAAGTTTTGCATCTTAGGACTTTGCCTCCAAATTGTATTCAAACCTGAAATGTGTTCAAATAACTGCATATCTGCTATAATCAAGTTCATCAGACTTTTTTTTTTTTTTTTCAATACGATATCAACACGCTGAAGGTCTTCCTAATATGTTCTCTTGGAAGGTTAAATAAAAGCAAATTTAGTAACACTGAACAATTACTGAAAACTTTGGCTATTTATGTACTTGCATTACATATCAGCATTTCTTTTAAAACACAATGGCATTTAGATACTCTTATTATAAGGTGTTATTTTCAAAAAAAAGTTAGACTGAGAAGCTATTCTCTCCCAGGCAAGTTTACCCAACTGTAACGAGAGCACCAAAGCGGTGTAAGATTACAGTTGTCTCTAAAAGACTGTGTCTAGAAAAAGTCTCCAGTTTAGGAAGTTGAGACACTCACTACAACATAACTTGCTTTGTCTCGACTTGGTACTCTCTATATATATATATATGTATATATATAAAATGCAGTTCTGTTCTGGAAAGAGTAACAGAAAACATTACCTCTGCTGCTTTCAATGCCATTTTTACCACTGACGGTTCTACTAAAATTACAGGAAAGTACAATGGAATCCATTCCAGAGTAAGTTAACTGCCCCCAGCAGAGGCGTCAGAGCTGCTGTGGTATAACGACCGCTGCAGCCACCGCCGGGCCGATGTGCAAAGAGCCCAGGTTAACCTAAAAATTCAACTGAGGAGTAGACACTAAAGGCATCAGAAAGTCACTTTCCAAAACAGATGTGCACTTTAAAAATAAACAGAACAACAACTGTCACACCTTACCGCAGCTGATTAGGTCGCTTAAGTTCTCTAAAATGTAACTTAAACTTCCCTCCCCGGGCTCTCTCTCAGCCATAGACAAAAAGCTGCAAAGAGCAGATTCTCAGCCGGTGGAAGTCAGAGCAGTTGCAGCGAAGCCAACAGATCTATTCTGATTTACGAGCTCCTGGCATACGATTCCCATCTGCCATCAGCTCCCCCAAAGATTCTCAGAATTCCCAAGACAAAGTCTCACGCTGGTTAACATCCCTATTCAGAGTCGATTCAGTCCCGGATTAATTCCAGCTGTCCTAATATACATTAGGAGACGACCACCACCACCCTTACCCTATATGTTACTAGAATTTTCTCATTTATTCATCTCTATTATTAAGAATATACTTCTCAGCTATAAAAACAGAGGGGGGAGGGAGATAAGCATTAAATGTGCTACTGTACTTATCACAAAACACTGTGACGTACATAAGGCCATCTGGTAACACTGCAACAGAATACAAACAAGATTTTAAAAGGGAGTTTTAGAATACAACTTTTTTTTTTTTTCTCCTTTTCTTAAACTACGATGAATAATCTCAACCCTGTTCACAGAGAATTAACGTTAAAACTAGTACATCATATATATAAAACTCTGTGCAACTGAACAACAGCAGAACAAAAAGTCAACACAATTCTATAAAGCGGTTTCAAAGCCTGAAGGTTTAAGACATGCGAGCCAAAAAACCACAGCACATCTCAAGGAGCCCAGAGCAAACGCAGGTATTGTAACCCCCCCCAGCACACAGCACACACTAGGAACCATGCAGAGGCCATCCTCAAAGCCTTCCTGTGTTCAAAAACCAAGGAAAAAAAAAAAGGGAAAAAAAAAAAAAGAGAAAAAATAACCCCAAACAACAAAAAACCCCAACAGCTTCCAGTTATTAGCACAGCACTGCTGCACGTACTGCTCAAGGGCTGACGGGCTCCGAACACACCTTCCAGCCTCTCCCCCCTCTCCCTACTGTGCTGCTCCCAGTTCGCCGTCCCCTGTAAAAGAGCCCTGTTTTCCAAAGGTTCATAATTCTCCCGTTACACGCCCTGCCCGAACCCCTACTTTGAGATGAAAACCTTCTGCAACACACGGTCTCAACAGAGAAGCAAGTGTTTTAAGTAAAAAAGTCATCCAAACTTTTGTGCCGTGAACATAAAACTATTCAAAGACACATTTAAGACATTTTTTTTTTTGGTTTTTTTTTTTAGAAGATGTGGCATACAACAATGTCAAAGATGCATTTAAAAATAACCTTTGGCAACTAATTAGTCCACACTGTGGTATAATTGAATTGAGTACTAAAAAAATTAAAAAAAACAAAACAAACCAAAAAAAGCCCCGAAAAACTTCACCAGCGTGCGCAAAACGTTTAGAAGTGGGGACCGCACGGGGCAGTGTTTGCTGGGAGTGCGCGGGGGAAGCGTTACTGTGCACATCTGGAAGGCGCAGCACGCCATGAACACACAGCGAGCGCGTGCGCACACGCGTGTCCACGTGCAGAGAGCGACTCCAGTCTCGGGTGAAGGACGCACCTGAACGGAGGTTTTCAGCTCTCCCAGTGTGCTTTTTATCAGCCGTCCGGAATAGCTCCACAGTCAAAGTCGTCTATACCACATTCTTGGGGAGGGGGTAAAGAAAAATAAATGAGTCAGTTTTACTTTTGGGTTTTTGTAGGATAATTTCTAGGAAGCGGACATCTGGCTCCCCTGAAGGGCAATACCTTCGCCTAGACGCTGGAGAAGGAGCACTGGGCGCTGCCCGGCGCGCTCACCCTGCCCGTTACATCTTTTTTTTTTTTTTTTTTGCAAAGCACGGTTACGGTCAGCAAAGCCGCATCCTCCAAAAAGGATCAATGATCTGCAGTGAACAATATTCTCCCTTATTTTTTTTCCTTTGTACAAAGG